AGTTATGCCATTGTGCAACATATTAGAAATGAAAGAAAGAATAGTGTGAGTGTGGGAAAAAATGTTACACAACTCTACCACAGTTTTGCAACATGAGGACATGTGCTCAAATTAGAAAGAGCAATTGAAGAAGTTTGACTATGTGTCTGTAATTCTGAAAGGCAGTTATGTTCTTGTTCTCAGAACAGGCCTCTCAGTGAGATATAAAATAGAAGTAGGTACAGTTGGTTACATGTGAATTGAGATTTGCTCTGGATTACAAAATCCATCCCAAAATGTTCGCTTCTGTTCTAGCTTTGTTCGGGTTGAATTATGCAATTTGAGTCTGGGCTAGATTCTTTTGGTCCACACAAGCTTGGTGTTTCTGGTTCTATAGAGTTTTAATTGCACAGGAAAGCCAGATAATAGAAAAAAGCAGAGCCTAGGAGGGAGTAGATAATCTCTCCACTGTTAAATTTTATGCTGTCCTTCACTCCTCAAAAAATCTTTCATAATTAGCATTTAAAGTACATGGCCAAGTACATGGCCAGTACATTTAAAGTACATGGCCACTGCAAGAGAATGCCTGGGATTTATCTACCAGCATTTATCTACATAGATTCACTGCCTTGTTACACCTTGCACACAAAATAGTCAAAATAGTCTGTAAAACTTCAGGAGCACTTCGCAGAAACGTTCAGGCCACTGACTTTACTGAGAGCTAAGCAGGTATGTTGGCAGATAGTTCTAAATCTTGGGCTGGGTCTGAGGCTTTTCTCTCCCTGGAGTCTGTATCTGATTCATCGGGTGGTCACTGGGTGACTACTATCGCTAGAGATTCCCAGAAATTAGGCATGTCAAAGAGCAAGGTCATCCATTTCACAAAAATTAGAAAAGCAGAGAGATGTTTAAAAAAAAAATGACCTTCTGAGTGCCAGAAGATAGATTTTTTTCAAATCCCACTGCTCCCACATTTCTGTGCCAGGAATGAGAACCCATGTTACAAGGAGCCACCACTCCCGTGGATTCTCTAACCTAAAAAATATCCTAGCATCTTTTAGGGTCTTCCTTTAAGGTGTCCAACATTAAACAACCAATTAAATATTCATTGTACTAAGAAAAAAATAATAAAGTAACTCTATATTGAAACTGCTGTGGTTGTAAAGGATGTGTCATCTTCAACAATGCAGGTTCCTGCTCCAAAGAAGTTTCAATGATTTTATATACAGGAGGAATCCTAAACTGGAGAGATTCAGAGATCTTTGCCTTGAAATTTCATATAATCTGTAACAAAATATTATTGCTGACTATGGGAACTCCTTGAATTAAAAGGAATTAGAATATTAATTTCCCAGTACTGCTGGAGGATATACCTCTGGAATTGTTATATATTTTTTCCCAGTTTTCTGTATCAGGGAAATAATCTGATGGATCTAACGTATTCCCATTATAATTGTCTCAAAGCAGCTTAGTACATGTATGTGTGGGCTGTTTTTCTTGTGGGACTATTTATATGTCGGAGCAATTTTTCTTCTTTTTTTTTTTTTTTTTTTTTTTAATTTATTTAACTGATCCCCTAACCTGAATATTTAAATACCTTTTTTTTTTTTTTTTTTTTTTTTTTTTTTTTCCCAGACTTAGAAATTATTATCCAGAGTTTCAATATTTAGATTACCATTGCAAATTTCTTTGGCTATTTCTTTATTTATTTTACCTTCTCAGGGGCTCAGGGCCTTCTCCAGCCATGTTTTGAAAATCTCCAAAGATGGAGATTCCACAACCACTCTGGAAAACCTATGCCAGTGCTTAACCACTCTTTAACATCACTAAAATGAAGCTCAAAATCAAAACAAAGTTTATAGTTTATAATTATAGTAATGGTTATTGAAAAGAGCTTATGTTATTACAAAAAAAAAATAATCAGAAAACCTAAGCTAAGCTTAACAGTACTGATATAATAAAAACCACACAGCAAACCAGTAGAGAGTAAACTGATCATACTTGGTAATTGACACTTCACTAACAGACTTCATAAAATTATTAAATTTTGATTTTCCTCTCCTATTTCACACATGTTGCATAGACAGCTTTAACTGTCATTTCTAATTTTCAGAGAGCTTGAGTTTGTATTCTTAGTATTCCTTTAGCATAACATGACTTTTTCTCCCCATTTATTATACACTAGCAATATGATTATAAAATATATTACCAGTTCAGTTCTACTTTATCTTTACGTAGTGGTTTGACTTTCAAAAAGGCTTGACTTCCTATCATTGACATTGACTTCTAAGATTTATTTAGATATATAGGGATAATTAAGTATTGCAACTTCATCTACTTTTGAAAATCAGGGCATAGATCCCTTTTTAACACCAACAGTACTGCTTTACAATGACTGCAATTTGCACAGTAAAGGGAATAGGGAATAGGGAGGTTTGCAAAACCACAGAAACAGATCCCATCAGAGGAGATTTAGTTTTTTACCTCTCTGTGAAAATTGAGGACAGTACAGGCAGGATCTAAGCACTGAAAAAATGTCGTAAAAGAGGAGTGCTCCAATAAGCTTGACTTTTTTTACTTGATTTTATTTCCCAGAGCACACAGAAATGGCCTTGTGGCAGTTCACCAGCCAACTGGGCTGGACAGGGATTTCAGTCTACCACCAGCAATCTGAAGGCGAGAGAAAGCAAAAAGCAAGCCACTGACTTTTCAGTGATATTCTTGTGGCAGAACCCACTTCCTGATTAAAATTCTGCCCATATGCAAAATCAAACCAAACCAAACTAACCAATCAACAACAGCAAACTCTTAAACATAGTACACACACGGGACACTGCAAATTTCTTGTTTCCCATTTAATTTGAAGATATTCAACATTCATGTGGATTTTGTGTTTCAGGTAGGCCTGTAGAAGTTCTAAGAAAACACTTCATTACTCATTTAAGAGAATAAAGCAGAATAAAGCAGCTGGGTGAGATGCAGTAATTGGATTTGTAACCCATTGATTTGTAACACTGATCCCACTCCCAGTTGTTCCATCCAAAGAAGCTGTCCATTCAAAGCTGTTGATTGTAGTGTTCTGCACTGCTGGAAAGAGATCTTCATCAATTTAGGCAGTGCAAGATCTAGATACTAGTCACATTCATTGACCCTAGAGTTCAGTACAAACACCAAGTATCTGTGGGTGCTTCTGAAACAGCAACAGAAAACAAGGGTGGACAGCAAATCCCTGCTTTGGCTACATATACAACGGGACATATTTTCTTTCCCTCAGCACATTTCATTTCACCCAACCTGTTACTTTTGTTAAATTGGTATGCAGTAGAATTCATATTTAGATTCTAATTTAGAAAGCTGCATGAGTGTCTAACTTTCAGTATGAGCACAAGCCTTATTGAAGGTGAAGAAGCTATCATCCTTACACAATGATAAATCAGAGCCTAAATTAACATTACATTATACACTTACTAAAACTAACACAAAGTTCTCAGTTAAGATAAATAATATTGTAATTTAAGTAAATCCCAAATACACATTTAGTTCTTAAAATCTTACAAAAGATGCATACCTTCCTAACATAAAACAAGGGAATATCAAAACAATGTACTTAAGATTTGATATCAATATTTTGGTGGAATATTATTTAATAACTTTAAGGCTTACATCAAAATAATTAATATTATATTCATTACTGCATGGCTTAATCTTTTTTATATGACTAGAAAATTAGTTTAAAGAAACATAATTAAAATAATTCTAGACATGCCACTGTAACATGATTAAAAATAAAATAACTACTGCAATGTTGTACAAAAATATAGTTAATTTAAATGCAAACCCCTTTTATGGGCTATTTATCTCTGCTTATGTATGTTAGGGGAATTAAAAAGAAGTTTGTTTAAATGACTGAATTTTTTCAGGGAAAATAAGGGCTGCAGAGCAAGTCTTGCTATTATTTAACAAATATTAATCATGCTTGCACAGAGGCCACTTGAGAAAAATTTATTACGTGAAATTTGTGACCAGTCATGCCATAGCAAAAGGAGAAAGCCACAGGGCTGAAATGACAGTGAGGTTTGTGTATGCAGTGCTCCTCTGGTAGTTAAATTGCAGGAATGTGACATTGATCTGAGATGAGAGCTGTTTGAAGTAGCAATTGTCAATCTTTGTAATCAAAGGATGGCCCAAAGTCTTACTCAATTAGCCATTTTGGCATGACCGCTTGGTTTATAAAGTCCTACTGACTCAAAAAGTGATCTGTCCTCAAGAGGCACTTCACAAAGACTGCATGGTTTGAGGATAGTGAACGGTCATATAGGGCTGTAACTTTGGGTCATTTTTAAAAATTATTTTTATTAGATTTTTATTTTAATTTTTGCAAAAGTGCAACAATGTCTCATTTGACTGACTGTACTTATTACAAGGTGAGCCAAATTTGGGTTTAGATATAAATGAATGTCTGATGCTCTTGAAGTTGGTTGGATTATGTTTTTCTTTATACAGTTCTTTGCTGTTTCAAGTACAAAAGTCTAATTACATTGCGATACTAATTTTAATACATATATGCTTATAGATTTGATTATAATTATTAGTGATTCAGTAAAGACCAGTCTTGACTGAGAAAAGAGAAATGTGTAGCACACTTCTGGCCTTTTCTCAGGATCATGTTTATGATCAGGCAGTTGGAATTGATATTTTCAAGTCTCTTTCAACTGAACTATTCTATTCTGTTCTACTCTACTCTACTCTACTCTACTCTACTCTACTCTACTCTACTCTACTCTACTCTACTCTATTCTTCTTTGATAATTATTCAGAGGGTTTATTCACCTGCGTAGGGGAATATAGTACACAAATAAGAAGTGTGTGTGTAAAATTTTAAAAAGATTTGTGGTTAATAACAATTCTATGCAACAGTATAAAAACTGAATGTATTGTTCTAAAGTTCACTAAGGGAGCATATTGGCAAATGGTGATACGAACAGCTTGAAACTTTAGCAACCATTTCCATTTCTCCCCAGGTACAAACACACTTGGAAAATCAGTCTAGATACCATATCCAGCAAAGCCAGAGGCACCAGGTGAAGCAGTATCTGACCCTTGACACCAAGCTGTCCAGCCAGACCCTCTCCCTGTCCCACTCCCACACAATCCAGCCTGCAGGAGTGACCTCCATTTTAAGAAACGGACACATGCCTCCCGTCAGTGATATTGGCACACCAGAGAGCCCTGTTACCAAGCTGCTGGCCCTTGGAGGAGACCATGAAAATGCGGTAGGGCAGGGCTGGCAAAAAGATTGGGGAATTAGGCATTGCTTACTGCTGTGAAAATGTTGCAAGACGTATCTTGTATACATTGTGGGCAAGAGATGACTTTCTTTACCTTCATGGGGCTCATCATGAACGAGCATGGGGCTCATCATGAACGAGCATGTAGCTCGTTCAGCTGCAATGCGTGTGCCCTGAATCCTTTCAGATTATATGAGCATTCCCTTGAATACTGTGTGAACAGTTTATTGCATGATCAGGCTTCTAAATTTCTGCCAGTTTAAATGTACTGTTCTATCTTTTTATCTTTGTGGCATACATTGCTGTACTTTTTTAAAATATGTACTTGGCAATGCAAACTTTTTTTTTTTTTTTTTTTTTTTTTTTTTCTTTTCTCCAGATAAGAGTTATTTCTGTCTAAAAGTATTATCCTAGCTGCATAACAAACTTATATACTGATTACTTTAAAGAATCACTCATTCATTTTTCCATTAGCTGACATATTTATATATGGATTATATTGGGTAAATTGGCATAGATCTCCTAACTTTCATGCCACCATTGATTTTAATAAAGATACAGCTGTTATACAATGCCAGTGTGAGATGTAGAACATTATGGCCTTTAATACTTCAATAGATTTCAAGAGATAGTGCTTATTGGGTAAAAGGGGAATTCCTACAGAAATAAAAAGTGGAGGTGCCATATCATATCTTGGGCACTAACAGAAAAGTCTTACAAATATATTGCAATCTATCTCAGCACACTTGGATGCTACGCAGCTAAGCATGAGGAACTGAAAAAAATAAAACCAATGCTTGTCTGAGTGCTCATTCGAGGCCCCTCTATTTCTTCTGCATTGACAACTGACATTTTCTGTCAGGCTTATGGATTATTGGAGTCTACTCTGCAAAGATCGTTTAAAATGACCTTTGTGGTGGTCTCTGTGATCACCTCTGTTCTGGCAATTGCAGTGTGCTGGAACCATTCTTAAGTACTTTGCATATCTGACCAAGAACAACCATTTCCTTCACTAGTACAACTTTATCCTCTAGAGCAAGACAGCTGCTCGTAAAACACCTGCTGTGCCTCTTGAAATATGCCTGTTTGTGATTGAGAGGGTGATTGTTGGCACAAGCCCAAATCCCTGTAGGGATCATTCAAGTAATTTGAATAATCCCATCCCAGAGCCACAGGAAGATCTCTGGCACAGTGTGATTTCCTAGTACAGATGCATCCTGTGGTTCAGTGAAAGCTATGGGTATACTGGTAAATAATAGAGTCCCAATGCACAGGTTGGTGTACTGGGGAGTCATTCATATTGCATAATTGCTGACATTCCCTGGCCTCCTTTGGCCCAAACTACATTTTTCTAGATAAGCCTGTGCATAACTCATGGGACCGCACATGCCTGGCTTTTGGAGGGGGAGAGGAGTGAGCATATCAGCTGTGCTGTGCCATATGGCCTAAAAAATAAATGTACATGTATTTAAAGGTCCCTGGCCTATGAGTTGTGGGTTGTGTTATGTATCGATATTTCCAGTCATCGTGTAACGCTTCCTCTATTTCCTTCAGCTACAGCTCTTGAGACCACTACTGAATGCTGCTTGAAAGCCCTCAGAGCATGAGTGAACTGCTCTGGCACACAGCAAAGTTAACTGTGACAGGTTCATTATGGGCATTCCTACATAGTTACTTTTTAAAGGGAACCAGACCAAAATTATCACTGAAAATTCATACTGTGTCTTGTCCAAATCTGTATATGTCTATATGTCTGCAAAGTATTTACTGTTTTACCTCAAATAGCTAATTAGCTACCTCATCTTCTTAAGCAGTTTTAGATTCAGACTTGAACACATGTGGAACTAGAAAGCTGGCTGGAGAAGTATCCAGCACGCTGCCAATCACAACACAAACCTCTGCCTGCTGAACCCTGAGAGCAGTGTGTGGTACCAAATCTTGAGTGACTCATGCTCTTGCAGAACCACAGGTTCCTTTCAGTCTTCATGCACCAATGGAAAAATACACTGTGGATATGAGACATTTGATGGTGATAGATCGTAGTTATAGCTTAGCAATGTGCTCTGGTCATCTGATCTTGGTGTTGCAATACAGGGTTAAGAAAGTTGAATGGATTGGTGGTTGGGAGGAAAGAAGTAATCGCTAAACCTATAAAATTGTTTTCAAGAAGTAAAAATTGTGATGTTGTGTAAAGGTACTTGAATTATTTGAGTTTTAAGATATAAACTTCTGAAATTCAGTTTTATTGAAGCAATAAATATGATTATTTCCTCTGTATTTTCAGAATAATATTGTCTTTACTAATACTAATAATGATTGGTCTTAAAATATTATTTTACTAGATGGAAGAGGTTATTGAAGATATAATCAATATGGAATCGAGTTTTAATGATGAAGGGATAGGTTGCTCTGAAACTCCTCTATTAATGCAAAGAACTGTAAGTATTTTGTGGAATTTGGTCTTGTTATTTATAATAGAGAATTTCACTGAGTGATTATAGATTGCATATTACACTTCATAGACCAAAGCAGTGCTATCAGAGAATTATTCTAATTTCTCTTCAGTTATTTGTCTTTTTATGAAGAAACATTACAGGGAAATGTTCCAGTGTGGTGGGACACAACTGCTTTATATGGTCTGAATAGCTAATTAAATATTTGTGGTTTTTCACCTCCACCAGCTCCAGTGCATAGCCCTTTACTAATACACATGCCGGACTATGGATATGCAGATTCCCTGGACCGTAGAAGGCTTTTAAAGTCCTGCTTTAAGATCCTTCTACTTTGTCTAAAAAAAGTCAAAGCTTGGCTATGTGTTAGTATCTGGAGTAAAGTATTTTCTTTAGTGTCTTGTATTGAACCAAGGTGGGTTCTATTTGTTGGCTTTCATAGAGGCAAGTTGCACTAACGTTGAATAATTTAAGAAAAAAGATGATAAATATCACCTTTCAGATGAAATGCTTTATAGGAATAATCCTAACAAAGTGTTATAATTTTCTTTTTTGTAAAAAAGTGACAGCAGATTGACGATGCCTACTAAAATTTTCATATATGTTACACATTTAAAGAGGAGAGATGAGCCTTTTCTGGACACAAACGCTCATTATTATTGGGGAAGTAACATCTATGAAAAATGTAATGCAATACGCTCTATAGAAGGGATGTCCTTTTCTCTCAATCTAGATTTATCTTGGGAACCTTTTTCCAAGATTTTGTCCTAGAAGGAATACCAGTAAAGACAAACTTCTCCCTGGTGAAAGCAGAAGAATTTTCACAGGCTTTGATAATCTACAAAGTTCATTTCAGAATACCGAGTCAGGTGCTTGCACTTAATCATCCACTGGAGGAACATCTTTTTCTGGCTACAGAGCATCACTGTCTACAGAAAATATGTTAGGAGATGAGATCTCTACATCTTTGTGTTGCCAACTACGCAATCCAATATTAATGGCAATTAATGGTTCCATGAATACCTGGCATTTGTATGCCAGTTACAGAGCTAATACAGGCAGTCAGTCTGATTTATACATATCTCAGTACAGAACATAGCAAAGAAATGCTCCTTGGGGAGTGAATTAATATTTTGGCTGAAATTAACGTGGGACAGGGAAGGATCCTTTCAGGTGTTGTACCATGGGACGATGATGGGAAACATGAATTCTGGGTTTTGTATTGGACTTGCACTCCCTCAACACCTTTTAAAACTGGATGTTAATCTATGCTAATTCCAGCCTCATTAGCCTTTATGAAGGACATATGTACATGAAGGACATATCCCCATGAAATATGTTGAATACCCTATTCTTGAAGAACAAGGAAAGATGTAATGACTTTTAGGTCTAAGTAACATTACTTGCAAAGATTTAGACTCTTGCAATGTCTGTGGGTCAGGTAAGGATATTTACATTTCTGTTTGTGCTGAGGAAATCACCAGGCTGCAAGGTAAACTGGAGAATATTGTGTGTTTCCAAATATCTTTCTATAATGATGTGGCAAAATGAAGCCTGCCTTCACCAGTGCATGCAAACTGTGCCAATGTGGGAGGAATCAAGCAATGCATCTGCCTCTTCTGTTTTCTCTTTTGTCAATGTGCACTTTTGCAGTACAACACTATAGTATCTTTAGGATTGCACCTTAGATTTTACCTTCTTTGGCATTGTCTGAGATTAGTGGTGTGAAACAGTCTGTCTAAAATTGTGAAAAAAATCTGACTCCGTTGGTTTTCTGAATACAGTAAGGCTTTTGGCTTTTTTTTTTTTTTCTTTTTCCTTTTCTTTTCAGAAATCTCTTAGCTTGACCCAGAAAAAATCATGAAGCCATTTGTTTTTCTCATTTTTCTCAGTAGACAGTGGTTGAGATGAAACACTTCACAGTGTTACACAGCATGTGTTGCTATGAACTGATGTTTGCTTTAGTTAGATGCACCCATGTACCATTTTAATGGCACATTAAATGAGGACATTGAATTCTATGAGACCACTCATGTGAGTAATTGCTCAGAGACTTGTTGTCTGACCCTGAATTAATGAATTACAGTCATGTATTAGTAGAACCAGAGAAGTGAAAATAAGAACATCCTTCCATCTCTTATTAGAATTATAGCGTCCATAGAGCAGTTTCTTTTGCTTTTATTGTGTTTGGCCCCAAACTCATAATTTCATAAAACTCTCTGTTTTTGCACAGCAACTTAAGAATTTGCTTTTCAAAACAGGGGGTACTCTGGCTGGATTCTCTTTCTCCTAAATTCACCCTACTGCTATAAACTTACCTTTTAAAATTACTTTTAGAAATTGAGTTACAAGACAAGATCAGGTCCTCCCTGTAATGCAAGAGATCTTAATTCTTCCAAAAGTACTTATAAACCCAGTTATATCATTGTCCAGAAAACATAGCTGAAATCAGATTTTAGCTACTCTCATCATCTATTACTTGATAAAAATTGTTCATAATGGGGAGGATAGTTAAAGAGTAATAAAGCTGTATAACATAACAACATTTAGTACAACTTTAAGTGGGAAACAAAATTGTATTTTCTCTGCTGAAAATATCTAGAATTTAATAAAGAATCTCCTATGAAGACAGGCTGAGTGAATTGGGGTTGTTCAGCCTGGAGAACACAAGGTCTGGGGAGATCTTAGAGTGGCATTCCACTGCCTAAAGGAGGCTACAGGAAAGCTGGGAAGGGGTAATGGTTTTAAACTAAAAGAGGGTAGATTTAGATTAGATATAAGAAGGAAAGACTTTACTCAGAGAGTGGTGAGGCACTGGAACAGATTGCCTAGAGAAGCTGTGGATGCCCCATCCCTAGAGGTGTTCGAGGCCAGGCTGGATGGGGCTTTGAGCAACCTGGTCTGGTGGTAGGTGCCCCTGCCCATGGCAGGGGCGTTGGATCTAGATGATCTTTAGGGTTCCTTCCAACCCAATCTGTTCTTTAATTCTACAGTTCTATGAAGAAAACTTGAAAATGAAAGTGAACACAGTCATTTTCTTTGTTAGAATAATTTAGTCTTATGAAATTGTTTACAGCAACATATTTAATTATATTATAAGAAATCCATTCCTGTCCTTAGTATTATATTAGGAATGACAGGTATCTTCCTAACCTCATCGACATCACTGCAAAGTTTCCGTTTGAAATGAAGCAAAGTATATATGAGCGAGTTTTAAAAAGTAAATAATATCATGTATATCTACTGTGGTGACAGACATTTGAAGAGTAAACATTTTTCAATTTTATCAATCTTTCATTTGCATTCAAAATCCTCACAGTATCTTCAACATTCTGTAGTGAATTTAAAGTTTATTAACTTCCAAATACTCAGGACATATGAAATGTATCTACATTTCAGCTGCAGGTCTGTTAATATAAAGCAAATATGACATCATCATTGAAAGTGTAGAGAAAGTTCTAAAAAGCTGTGGTTTACATCCATTTTAATATCTGAAGAAGGGAAGTGTAAGAAACATACTGTATCAAGGGAGATATGGAGAGCATTAGTCACAGTGCAGAGTCAGAAAAAAAAAAAAAAGAGTTGAAAAATAGGATCTTTGTACTTTGCAGTGTTCAATTTGACAGTGTGTGACCCAGTGAAACCTTTTCTTGTTACTAAATGCGGTTTTGTTTTGCTAATATGTGTATACAACCCTGGGACTCACCAGAAAACCTGGTAATTCAGCAGGCACAACAGTCATCTCTATGAAAATGTTTGGCATTTCACCAGCAGTTTCTTTCAGAAATAATTGATGTATCCCAGATAATCACTGTACAGCTACTGAGATAATGTCCTCTACTTGACATGGAGTCCAATAAAACTTACATCAAAGACATTGGGAGATTTACTGGTTTGAGATGAGAATAAGATGAGAAGATACTAGTGTTATGAAAGACACAGGCTTCTCCCACACAGCGCTGGGTGGGACAGGATGTAAAATAATTTAATTTTGTGAGCATATCCAAGGATTCTAAGTTGCCTTTTGTTACTCAAGAAAACAAGACCTTTCAGAAGTATTCTTGAAAGGAAAGAGGCTCTGTAGCAATTAGGTGGCTGGTGGTGAGAATGAAGAGAGTGGTGAGTACTGCTTGAGGCAGAACACTACCATAAAACAGGCCTTCAAATAATCCCCAGCAATGACCCAGCTAGTGATCTGCTGAATCAAGTGGGCTCACTGTTGCTGGAGTAGTAGGTTTTGAATAGCTAAACAAAATGGAACAGCTCCTTTCAGATTGCTTGGTAGAAAAAGGAAAACCTTTTTTTTTTTTTTTTTCCATGTCAGTACTAAATAGAGTTGAGAACGATGCTTCTGTCTTGATTTATTCTTAATATTTAAAAAATGTTTTCTTCTCTAATTATGTCCCCCTGAATGAGTTTACCAACAGAAGTGTTTCCTGAAAGCAGCAGTTCCTAACCAATGAGAAGCACAGAAAATATTTCTATATATGAATATACCACACCGCAAATCACAGGTGTGATTTGAAGAATTATCTCACTCAGAGAATAGAATAGCCTTGGTGGTCTTAGACTAGGCTGAAACAAATAGCTTTAAAGTTACTTTAAAAACATCTGTAAAATATTTTATTTTATTTTATTTTATTTTATTTTATTTTATTTTATTTTAGTAGGAATACTTAAAGATTTGAAACAGCACTAATTTCTCCAACAAGTCTTGCTCTAACTATGTACTGACTGTACAAACTATGTTATGGTTTCATTGGTGGTTTGAGGTTCACATCACTTCGGAGATTTAAAGCTGTCACAAGCAATGAATCTGTTGCTGGAAACTTTGTCTATCTGTGAATTTAACCAAATTTCTTCAGTTCTCCTTGGAATCTGAGTTGATGTACGTGGTATTTATATAGTGGGAAAAGAATTAAACAAAAAAAATATATTTTTGTTTGTATGATTTTAATGAAATAATATTGTACCTCAGTTGAAACTTG